CGGCACGGCGCGGGCGCAGGGCCCGGGCGGCCCGGACTAACTGACGGACGCGCCGGCGGACAGACGCGCGGACGCAGGACGCACGCGGGAGGCCCGCCCCCCGCGCCGCCCCGCCCCTCCTCGGCCGAGCCGGCGGGGTCCCCTCGCCCACCGCCGTTTCCGGTTGGATCCCCGCGGGCAGCGCCTCCTCCGCACCTGGCGGCCCGGCCCCCGGCCCCGCCCCCGCCGAGCCCTAGGTCTGGCTCTGCCAGCACCTTGCCAGGAAAAGGGCGACTGGAGTGCGCCTTGCCCGTGTTGGGAGGGCGACCAGATGAACCACCTGGCCGAATACGCGGTGAGGCTCCGCTTATGCACGTTGGGTGAGGCAAAGGCCACGGCGACTGCACACTCCGACGCCGAGCTCTTCCCACCCGCATAGACGTTGTCTCTAACCTTCGCAGGCTCCTGTTGCCCCAGTGCTCTAGGAGCAGTGAGGAGCAACTGCCCGAGCTCGGCCGCGGGCTCCCAGCCCACCCGCCAGACCCTCTTAAGAATCCCAGTGTGTAACGCTAGATATGGTGCTGGGCTGACTTTGCTGATCAACAGATTACTGGATTCCCCCGGCAAGGAAGTGCTTGATTACTGCTGAATGAGATAAGTCACAACAAACAACTTATTTCAATCAAGCAAAGGAGACCCGGTTTGGGATATGACCTTTATTGAACTTATCCACCAGAGTGGAAATAATGTCTGTACAAAACCAAATGTTTGTTACTATAACTTCTGCATCACAATTAAAATCCAAACAGTTTTAAAAACAGTCAACTCAATCAAAACCCGCTACACTTCAGAATCAATAGCTTCTTTGAAGCCACAGTAACACTTAAATATGGTTAAGACTCGAATGCAGAAATTTGGTCGGTTGGAAAGCTAATTAAACTTCCACCTTGCTCAAATAGAATTACAAAAAGGCAAAATTGTGTTTTTCACAGAGATACAGTCCACTGGAATCACCAACACTGGACAGCTGTTAAGAGTAAAGTCCTGAGATAATAAGGAATCCAGGCATCCTTTACACAGTCTTCTGTTGTCCTTTCTTCCCAATCAGAGACTTGTGGATATGTGGGATGACACCTAGGAAAGTGACAGCATTAATTCTATTTTCAGTACACATACACTTCAAACCAAGGCGGTCTACTGTTCAACCTAGATGTCTTTAAAAACGTCAAGTTCAATTATGAGGTGAACAAACACACAGATTGATTTCATATACTTTCACATACTGCAATGTAAACATTCTTGAATGCCCACTCCTGGACTAAATACTAGTGGGGATTAACGAATCCCTCCCTTTTGTAAGAGAATTTAAAATAAGATTTTAGCAATTACGTACCACCACCAGCAATCGTAGCCTTGATGAGCGAGTCCAATTCTTCATCCCCACGAATGGCAAGCTGCAAGTGGCGAGGGGTAATGCGCTTCACCTTCAGGTCTTTAGATGCATTTCCTGCCAGTTCAAGCACCTGAAAGGCAGAGCCCACTCAGCCTTCCCGCTTCCTCGCGGGCGGGCTGCACAGACCGGAGCCGCGGGCCCCCCGCCCGACTGACAGAGCGCGGGGATCGGCGCCGCCTCCCGGGCGCGGGCTCCCCCTGGCGTCCCCGCACCGCCCGACCCATCCCGGCCCGACCCCGCACCTCCGCCGTGAGGTACTCCAGGATGGCCGCGCTGTACACGGCGGCCGTGGCGCCCACGCGCCCGTGGCTGGTCGTCCTGGACTTCAGGTGTCGGTGGATGCGGCCCACGGGGAACTGCACAAGGAGGGCAGAGTCGGAGGTGGGGACCGTGGCGCGCCCACGTGACCTGCGCCCCCGCGCCCCCCACGCCGGCCGCGAGGTGCAACGCCACTGACCTGCAGGCCGGCCCGCTGCGAGCGGGAAACCGCCTTTGTCTTGGCCTTTCCGGAGTCCTTCCCGGCCTTCCCGCCAGCCTGCGCCGAGCACGGAGATAGGGTTACGGGTGCCCCTCCCCCGCGCGCGCCCCCGCCGCCGCGCGCTCCCGCCAACCGCCGCCGCCGCGAGGCCGAGGCCCAGCGCCGGCGCCCCCGCCCTGCCCAAGGGCCATCGCGGCCGGCCCAGCCCGCGCCGCCGCTGTGGACCCTACCATTTCCAATTCCGCTGAGGCGCAAGCACGCAGGCAGTAAACAGGCCGGTCCGACACGCAGCGGGACCCACGGCTACCGCTCCGCCGCACCGCGATTCAAACTGCGCTGTCTCCCGCCTTCCCCGCTGCCTTTATACTGCAGAATGTTCCCTCATCCGGGAACTCGGGCTGCTCATCCCACCAATGGCCGCCGCCCGCCCTCAGGACGCGTCCTCCAGGCCTCAGCCTATGAGCAGGCGAAAGACAAGGCGGAGGGGCGGGTACTTCCGAACTCGAGCCGCGATTGGCGGATGGGCTGGGAGTGGGGGAAGGCGGACGGCTGGGAACAGAAGCGAAGGGCTTGGCGGCGGGCGGGGAGGTGCGCGAGGGCGGCGCGGTCACGTGTCACGAGGCGGCACGCGCACCTGCGTCGTCCTCGCTGCCCCAGCCGTCCCGCCATCCCCGCGCCCCGCTCCGTGACGCTGACAGGTGCTGGGTCGTCTGGAGCCCAACGACCAGGCCTGCGCCCGCGCCTGCTGTCCGAGCGGATTTAGGAGAGCTCAGAGCCTTAGCCTTCAGGCTGCGTGATGGACAGCTGTACGCATCGTGGGTCGGGGCGGGCGTGCTGCGCGCAACGCCCAGTCCTTGAGCCAACACCGTGCTGCGTGCCGCACACAGGCCTCCCGTCCTCCAACACCCGCTGCCTGCGTGCTGCGCATAGTGCCCTGGCCTCTGGCCAACAACGTGGGTGCTGCGCGCGGTCCCCCGTCCTCCGGCCAACACCATGCTGGGTGCTGTGCACAGTCTTTCGGCTAACACCGTGGGTGCTGCGTACAGTCCCCTGTCCTCTGGCCAATATCAGTGAGAGAGGCTTTGTCAGATCATGGGACCTCTGCCTGCCTGGTGGGTGATCTAGAGAAGAGGCTGCAGTAATGTTGATGCCCATACTTATTTCTGATCCTTGGGACTGAGGTATTAGGGTGATGCTGGGGCTCCGGGATGGCGGTGAAGAGCCCAGAGCCGTGTGATGGGCGACCTGACCCGAGCCCTGCACTCGCGGCCACTTGCTGTCCTTGCCCGCTCGCCGCCCATTCAGCCTGGTGGCAAAACAGCCCAGGAGCAGCAGGCGGGACTTCCAGGTCTGCCTCCCGTGTCTCTGGCATCAGCCTCTTTCCTGAGACAAGGGGAAAGTCCCGTCTGTTTTCGCACTGCTGTTGAAACAAGGGAGAAGGTATACAATGTATATACAGGAAGTGCTCAGTAAGTATCATTTACATCCGATGCTGGAGAAGGCTGAAATAAAGTATCTTATTCCTAAGCCTTTTTTTCTTGATTAACATATTTGCTTCCGTTGACCAGAAACACTGGGCCTGAATCTTTCTGTAAGTATGCAAAGCCAAGTCGCTCAGCTTCGGAACTAAAATCCACAATTAGTTCATTACACTCAGTAGTTTTCCTTCTCTTTCAGAGAACAGGACAATATTAGTTTTTCCTCTTTTCACAGCAGTTGTGTAATGATTTCATCTACTTCCTTTCCTGCTCTGGAAAAGGCAATACTGCATATGTGCTAATAGTCTTGGCTTATCGTTCCTGTACTTGTGTTTGTGATAAAACATTTATGTGTGTTTATGGAATATACCTAGCCAGAACTATGTAATTATTTTCATTCAATGCCATATCAAGTAACTACTTGATAAGTGCCCTCTTGTCATAAAAAGATAACATTGGTATGAAATAGATGACCCTCTATTGACTGGATCCCTAATAGCCTTTTCCTAAAAGCCAGAATTTTTGTGACCAGTTACTATTTTCTCTCAAACATTAGCATGTAGGTTAACTACTATTGTTATAACTTTTTGTAGAGAATTTGAAAGTCTCACACTTGAGAATTTTTAATTTCTCAACTATATTTTTCTATAAATGCCTATTTTTTAAAAAATAGGAACAGATTTCCCAGTTATTTCAAAGCCTGTATTTCACACTAGAATCTTGGTTCTTGGGCTAGGAGTGTAGCCCAGTGGTGGAGCCCTTGCCTAGCATGCATGAAGCCCTGGGTTCAATCCTCAGCACCTTAGGAAAAAAGAGATTGATCTTGATTCATTTCACCTAGGACATCTAGGGAAAAATGTGCTTTCAAGGCCTTATTCAGCTGTCAGTTAGTAAGCAACAAAGTGGTTGTCTTAGTTACTTTTTTCCTTTCTGAGACAAAATACTGGACACTCAAAGTTAAACAAGGAAAGGCCTATTGTAGCTTGCAGTTTGTAGAGGTTTCAGTCTGTAGTCAGCTGGCTCCAAGGCATAGCAGAGGCATAGCAGTGGCATAGCAGAGGAGAAATAATCCATGGCATGGCAAGTAGAAGGCAGCATGCAGCAGCAAGCAGCCAGCCTGCCTTGCCTTTTGATCCCATCTAAGCTGCCAGCCTTTGTGTGGTGCCACTCAGAACCCTGCTAATTCCAGTCAGTGGACTAATTTAGTGCCACACACCTTTAATGCCAGGATCGCACACCCTAGATCCAGCCAGTTCTGAAGCACTCCACCTATGAGCACATGAGACTTTGAGGAAACATTTAGATACAAGCCTTAGCAGTGGTATAATACCAAATACTGCCTAGAGTAAAAGAGTTGAAATTGAGTCTGGGCAACCCCTCATGAAGTCTGTGGCCTGAAGTTCAGTGACTGAGCCATAGCTTATTCATCTGTTAAACAGGGATCCATGGCACCAGATAAACCAATATCACAGAATTGTG